CCCCCAGAGGGTTATGTCCATATGCAGAACACATATGGGTTTCAGAAAAGTGAGAAAAACTCAATCAGGAAGTAAGCCAACAATATTAGAAATGGTCGAAACAAGAAGGCAGAGTTCTGGCTCGGTATTGGAAGAACTTGGCGCCAGACTACAGGGACTGTCGCCGCAAAAGAACCTCTGTCGCCAGGCGACAAAAGCTCTTTATAGGCGACAAGCCCTGTTTTCTAGACGCTAGTTCCTATATGCCTTGGCAGGTATCTGTGTTCTTAGAATTTTCCAGATTTCGCAGTATTATTTCGATTCTAGTTGTGAAAGATATTTCTCAAATTTCCTACGTGTAAAATCCTATGTTTTTTACTCATTTCGGATGGTCTATCCAATGAGGACCTTTTTTATGCATATGACAATAATGTTAATCAAAATTACGCACATGAAATACTTAGAACTTTTCGAGTCTCATCCGCTCATTCTAAGTAATTGCCAAAATAAATTTCAGGAATTAAAATAGAAATCCTCCCCAACAAAGTCGCCAAAAACTGTAGGGAATATTTCAAGCATACCCCAATCTTGAACCCCACTGTGATCATACACTGAAGTATGGTGGCGTCCAAAGGGAAAGAAAAGGGAGCAAAAGAGTTGCCAACAAGTTTTAGGAACATGTAAACCAATCACGAGGTGAAGGTTACACCCCTTAACGATCCATGAGATCGTCAACTCCATAAGGTCTTGAACCAAATAGGGTTCGGGGATGAGGGTACGAATCTAATCTACAAAAGAAAGGACCCGCTCTATAAAATAGGCCTCTACTTTATTCTACTCGTATTCATGTGTGTTTTTTGACTAACATGCAAACATTAGGTTTAGCCCTAAACTTGTTTAATTTATGTTGGTTGAATATTAATGCACAAATAAAAATATTATTGGCGATCACTTGAATTAAAATCATATTAGCCTAAACCAAATTATTAATTATCTTATTAAGCGTGATTTCAAGTACAAATTCCCTTTAAACAAGCATAAAAGGCGTAATCAAGCAATAACAATAAATATAATATCAAGCAACATGATAACAATTAATAATCATAATAATAAGGCATATTAAAGCTTGATAACAATAGCAAGATCCTAGGCATGATACTAACAAGATTAATAACAAATCCTAGCATGTCACTAAACATCAAAGATCAAAGCTTTAAACCTAACATGGTACTAACATGATAACATGATATTAGAAATAATAAGAGGCACCCTAAACATGATACTAGAAAGCAATAAAATCATCCTAACATGATACTAGGAATTAAAACAATATAAGCATGCTTTCTACATTACAATAAAATAAATAGTAAGCTAACCTACTTACTTCGAAGCCTCGTACATCTTTCTAATAACAAAATACACAAGTTAGTAAACTTCAATGAAATTATAAAATCAAAGAATTAAATTAAATAAATAAGTTAAATAAGGTTTAAACTGGATTTGGGACCAAACCCTCAGAAAATTATAAACCTTGCACGTCTAGGGCGAAGGCAAATTCGAACTTGGCTAGGTTTTTCTAGATCTTGTGTATGCAGTATTGTGTTTGCAAAAGGGTTGGTTTAGAAAGACAGAGAGGATATCAAGTAAGCCTTGATGAGAGTTGATGATTGAAAAACGGAGGTCGAGGACCCTATTTATAAGAAAAATAGTCCGGAAAAGTATAGAATTTGATAAGGAATAAAACTACACGTTGTCGCCAGAAATTCACTCTGTCGCGAGGCGATAGTCCGATAGACTTGTCGTTTGGCGACAGCTTGGCTTTCACGCGCTTTCCACGCGGAATCCAATCTTTAACCAAATTTGATCTACGGAATCCGTACGGAAGCGTATAATTAAAATAATAATATTTTATTCCAAATAAAAATCCATCATAATATAATTATTAATCCTAACTCTATTAGAATTTAAAAGAATCTTCTAGAGACTTCTAGAAAATTATAATTAATCCTAATAATTTTAGGAATAACAATTAACATTGGGCCCTCCTCTAGATTATTGGGCCGTAAGTAAAGAACAAACCGGGCCTAGTTTAGTATTTTGGCCATAACTTTCTCAATATTCATCGAAATTGGGCTTATAATATATCGTTGGAAAGGTCTCTGCGAGCCCCATCCAACTACACTATTATTGGACCCTTATTACAGACCAAACTAAACTGGATTGGACATTTTTAATAAAATAAGGTTGTTTTCAAAAACAGAAAGAAGAGAATTTTAATAAAAACTAAACCGCAACACTTATGGCTTATTTGGCATCATTTTTTATTTTCAGTTTTCTGTTTTTTTGAAAACTAAAAACAAAAACTAAGAAACAAGAAAAAGGTGTTTTCACTTTTCTGTTGTTAGTTTTTAAAATTATCATGATTTTAATAAGTCTAAATAATTTTTGATTCATTATATGACATATATAATATACTTTTAAAAAACAAAAAACCAAAAAACAGAAAACCACAGCGATGCCAAACGAACCCTTAACTTTTCACACTTTCACCTCATTCGATTATGGTTCGACGTGAAAGGTATTCATCACTAGGTTTGGTTTTGGGGAGACACAAATGGGTGTCTACACCCGTTCTCTTCACCTTAATTGCTGAACTAAATTATTTTTACTAAATTGAAATTATTTTTGCTGAACTTAAATTAATTTTACTGAACTTAAATTAATATTACTGAACTGAAATTATTTTTGTTGAATTGAAATTATTTTTACTGATTTTCTATTATAATTCTTCTTTAAGAAAACTGAATTTACTGAACTGAATTTATTTTTACCGAATTGAATTTATTTTTACTGAACTAAACTTATTTTTACTGAATTGAAATTATTTTTACTTAATATTATTATTTTTTTAAGGTGAAAAGAACAAGGCCTTACCCTATTATTTCCTATAAATGTTAAGTATTTTAGAGATTGAGCCTTTGTTATCTTATAAAAATTATATATTTGAAAAATACACGTTGAGATGTATCTAACGAGATCCTATTAGATACATAGTAATAATTTTTTCTTATATAATGATGAATAATTATGGTCAAATAACGTAGAGGTAATCGTGGGTAGGATTGGGTTGAGCTTCGCCTCAAATAACTGGCCCAACTCTTTGGATCGAAAAGTCGTGCCCTAACACACTACTTTGGGCCAAAATAGTTGGCCTTTTCAATCGAGTTAGCAAAAAATCTATATCTATATCTATCTATACTTTCTATATTAAAAAGCGTTTCTAAAAACGTTGATGTGTCATGTGGCACCCTCGCCATGTCATCTTTCAACTATGAGCATATTCTAATAAAAATGGTCTATCATGAGATTTGAACTCACGACCACAAAAATATGCATTAGATGTCTTACCATCTCATCCATATATTAATCATGTTTTTATACTTGACTCATAAATATATAAGTATATGGATTGAATGGAGATCTGAACATTTAATAACTGCAAGTCTTAAAAACAAAAAATTGATCCTATAATTTGCTAATTATGATCATCGAGATTATACATACAAGCAAGAAAAATTAACTATTGTTATAAATTTTAGTTATTTAATAATTTTGATAATAATTATGTCTTTATTTTCATTATATTATAAATTATATACAAAGGATATGTCCATATAATTTTTTTACAAGAACATGTTTATATAATTATTCAATAGTTGTTCCATAAATAATTTATTTAAAGGTTTAATGAGAAACTATTATAAATTATAAATAGATAATGAATAATAAATAATGAAGAATGAACCTATCTATTCAATTACAAGTGTTAAAAAAATAACCCGGAGCATCACTCGAGCCACACACTAGTTTTAGCTAAAAAAAGGTTATTTTGGGCTAAGCTGGGCCCAATATTGCTCCCCAAATCGAGGCAAGATTTATGCTGAACCACTTTTAATCAGGTTTAGGTCAAAATCAAATCAAATTAGGGAAAAAAAAAAAGACCAGAAGAATTCAGGCCATACCAGGCTAGACTTTAGAAAATTCAGACCAGAACATCTTATTTCAGGTGAATAGATCAAAGCCTAAATCGTTTAATCAAGCACAAAGTCTTATATGTGGCTGATCACACGATGTGGACATGTGGTCATTTATCATGAGGGTTACTTCGTTGGTGTTATGTATAGGGGTTACTCGTTTAGTTTTACAGGGGTTACTCGTTTAGTTTTACAGGGGTTACTTTGTCAGTGTTATAGGGTTACTTGAGGATTACTATGTCAATATTACAGGGTTTATCGAGTTAGTATTATATGGGTTAATTTTGTTCTTTTACAAGTAGCACGTGGCCAACCGCATATAAGACGCACTACTATCAAGTTATGAAAGAACATACAAAGTACATATATACGAAGTATACATTAGGGCATGTTCTCATTGACTGAACTCAGCTGAACGAAACTGAATTGATTAGAGTTGACCTGAAATGAAATGAATTTTTATAAGAGAAGGAAATTAGGACCTGAACTGAACTTATTAGAGCTGAACTAAAGTGAACTGAACTGAAAATAATCGTATGAGAAGAGACCCAAAATAGGTGACATTTAGATCACCTTTTCAACTTTTCGCCACCAAAGTTTCTCTCTTAATTAAGAAGCAATATGATTGCATTAAGGTACAAGGCCGTAAAGGGTGAAGTCCAATTAATTTTATTAAGGAAAAGAAGTCCATTTAATTGGGCATTAATCAGCACGATTGTATTGAAAAGCATAATTTGGTTACCTAATTTCTTTTGCTGAAAATAATTTGGTAAACTAACTCACTACTTAAAGCTTCCTAAAATAACACAAATTTAGTACTCCTATATCAACTAGCTAACAAAGTACATATCATAACCGCAATTCTTAAATTTTATGTCTATATATATAAGGAGTACGTTTTTTCTATCAAATCAAGTGAATTCACAATTTAAGTTGATAGATTTTAACTCAATTATAGAAATAGAGTAAACAATCAAAGACAGATGCCGTAATAACACACTACACACCTGATACAATCCCCGAGTATTAAGCAAATGTAACGATTATTAACATTAATTTTTCCCGTGACGAGCATATTAGTACATCACTAACATCCTCATTTTATTATAAAAAGAAAATCAGTGTGTACTTAATTTTACTTTACAGTGAAAGGAATATAGACAAGATTTGCCCAAAACACAAGAATAAAATCCTGATCATTGATTAATATTTAAGAATTGTACCTCCAAAAAAAGATAAAAACCCATGAAAAAAGCAAGGAACATAACAAATACACGAATCATCTTCCCCTCTAACTCTTAACTTAACATAACAGCTGCACACAACAACAACAACCATTTTCTACCAAAAACACTTGACTGTCACAGGACCCAGCTGACACTTTCAGATCTAAATTAAAGCTTATCTTCAATTAATTTAACTCCATTTTTATTAATTAACTCCAAAATCCCATTACAAAGCTGCCAATTTTTTTGATGGGTTTTACAGGATAATGATACAGAGTATTGAGAAAGTGGTATGATTTTTAGCTTTTTGATTGATTTTTTCATTTGGGTGTTTTTTGATTGTGTTTTACTCAATTGGGTATTGCTTCATTTTTCTTTTTGTAGATTGTAATAATGTAATGTGCTGTGTTTGATTGTCATAATGTTGAAGTTGTCGGCAAAGTTTTGTTTTTGTACTGATATTTGATTGAAATGATCTTTGTTTATTTTTTTGGGATTGTTGAGCTTATGAATGTAAATTTGTACCTGTTATATGTTAAATGTGAAGTTTATTTTGGCTGCATTTGTTGGATTTTGGTTATTTGAAATGTGTGAGAATTTTTTAAAAGTTCTTAGTTCTTTCATTGATCATTGGAGCTATAATCGTTTGAATGATTGTTTAGAAACTAGGCTAAAATCATTAGTAGTTTTGTTGTGGTGATTTTACTTTGGACTTTCCAACGGCTTGTTTGGTAGGCGGTAATAAATGGTAAAAGGTACGGAGTAACAATGATTTATTTGTTAATACTAGATTTATAAAATTATTGGATTTAGATTTTTAGATCATTTTTTTTTTGGTATGTTTGCGTTCACAGAAAGAGAAATGTCTTTGTAATTTGATAGGTATGTGTGTGTTCACAGAAAGAGAAATGTCTTTTTAATTTGACACAATTTCTTTTTCTTCTTAATATTGGCTTCTATATATGTTGCAGAATTCCTAATTTTGTAGTGTGAGTGGTGAAGTGGATCTGTAATTAAATCATGGGAAGCCAGCATCTAGTTTTGTGTTTTTTGCTGGCTTGTTTCCCATCAATTTTGGCTCAAGAAATCGCGGGTGCGAATTTAGGTGTCAATGGAGGTCATGTTTTAGCTGAGACAGATGAAAAATATGTCTGTGCTACTATTGATTGGTGGCCTCATAATAAGTGTAACTATGATCAATGTCCATGGGGGTACTCTTCGATCATGAACCTGGTATAGCATCACTGTGATACATTTCTTTTCGTTGGAATAAGTTTTGATTTTATTGTTTTATTGTTAAAATTCTGCTGGTTTGATTATGCAGAACTTATCCCATCCGCTTCTGGCAAAAGCTGTGCAAGGTTTGTGATTAGAACTTGTTTCAGTGTTTTTTTTTTTTTTTTTGTACATTTCTCTGTTTGCTATGTATTTGAATTTAAGCATTTTGGCCTGAAGTTAGTGACATGGTTCTTAATTGCTGATGACTTGATAGCTTTTACCCATTTGAGGGTGAGACTCGGAGGTTCCTTAGAAGATCAAGTAGTCTATGATGTTCCAAGCTTGAAACTTCCTTGTCATCCATTTTGGAAACAACATGATGGGTTGTTTGGCTTTTCGAGGGGATGCCTGCACATTGGTCGTTGGGATGCACTAAATGACTTCTTTAGTAAGACAGGGTAAGTTATTTACTTTTGTACTGCAGCTTTCTTTTGGGAAATTAAATTATGTATTCCAATGTGAAATCTCTTAACTTATCTTCCTGGTTGAAACATATATCACAGTGCAGTCATTACCTTTGGCATTAATGCACTCTATGGAAGAAAAAAGTCCAAAAATGGTGTTTGGGTTGGACCTTGGGACAGTAGCAATGCATATGATTTTATGAAGTACACTGTCTCAAAGGGTTACCACATTGATTCATGGGAATTTGGTATACTTCTTGTAACAACTTTCTCTATGATTCTATGGCAGTAGTACATGAATTGAGCTGACCCTTGACCTTTCAGGTAATGAGCTTAGTGGAAGTGGGGTTGGTGCAAGTGTTGAAGCCACTCGGTATGGAAAAGACTTGATCAAACTTAATGGAATCATTAATGATCTGTACAAAAAGTCGCCCTCAAAACCTTTACTTCTAGCGCCAGGAGGATTTTTTAGTGAGAAATGGTTTGCTGAGCTTCTTAAGGTTACAGGGCCAGGAGTACTTAATGGTTTAACACATCATATCTACAATCTGGGTGCAGGTGGGTGGTGGCAAAGTTTGCTGTATCTATCGACAATTATTTTATGCTGTCACATTAACATGTGAATATCTTATATCAGCTTATTAAATCAAATTAAATAGTTTAGTACGAGTATTCACCACCAGAATAATAGTTTGTAGATCATACAATTAAATTTTCTCAAAATGGAATATCATTTATAATCATAGTGTGCAAATACATCTGACTTCATCTATTTCACCTGATATCTGCTCATGCACGTGCTGTAGGCACATCTTCCACTCTTCCTACTGTATTATGGTATCTGTATTATGAAGCATTTTCTTAGTAAATTTCTTTTTTTAATGGTTATTTTCTTTTGGAAATTCAGGTAATGATCCGAATCTTAAGAAAAAGATTATGGATCCTTATTACTTAAGCAAGATATCAGAAACATTCAGTGCTCTAAATAAAACAATCCATGAGCACGGTCCTTGGGCTCATGCATGGGTTGGTGAAGCTGGTGGTGCTTATAACAGCGGAGGTCATCTTGTTTCTGATGCTTTTATTGATAGCTTTTGGTAATTTAACTATCTTTGCTTGCCCCATATATTTCACGCATCTGACGAAATACAAAGAAATAATCCCCTTGTTCTGTTCCACTTTTGATATATAGGTACTTAGATCAGCTTGGACTAGCTGCCACTTACAACACCAAAGTTTACTGCCGGCAGACATTGATTGGTGGAAATTATGGCCTCCTGGATAAAACCACCTTTGTCCCTAATCCAGATTACTATAGGCAAGAGATTTTCATACTTCCTCTTTGTTAAAATTGATCATGGCTCTATATATAAATTGCTCATCCATGTTAACTGTTGCATTTATTCAGTGCACTTTTGTGGAACCGTTTAATGGGAAAGAAGGTCCTTTCTGTAGATAAAGCTACTTCACCTTACTTGCGTTCGTATGCCCATTGCACAAAAGGAAGGGTAAGCTTTAGTTTTTGCATTGTTCTGTATTATGTTTCTACATCTTGTGCTACATGCTTACATTATTGCTCCAGGTTGAGTTTGTTAATCAAAGGTTTAATGACCAAAACATTCAGAAGCTTTTAACTTAATTTGCAGAAACTTAAAAAGTAGTTTTCCTGTGTCTTTTTCTATTTAACAATAAAATGCTATGGATCGGTGTACTTTTCATGCACGTGTCTACCTTTTAGACTATTGGCTCATATGCCCAACTTTCTGCAAGAAATGAGAACCGTGCTGCCTATTTCTGATATCAAGCTCCTACTATTACTCTGAACTTAGTTGCAAACCAATTTGAATGCATGAATCAGTTAAATCATGTTGCTTATTTATTATGAGCCATGGATTTTTTATGGCATTGAATCAACTATCCTTGTTACAGTGTTACACCTTGCTGAAGCATAATATAGGCATCTGCCGTACTTTTGAGATGCGTGTTTCTGCTTGTAGTATCTATTGGATTATATTCTATGCATGATCCACTGTATTGTTTAAGATATTTTTATCCAGTCAAATAATTTAATGTTGGTGTCAAAAAAGTATTCCTGATTTCAATTTCAACAAGCAAGTTTTTTCTTTTTACTACTCAGTTTTATATTCTTCTTTCCCCCCCGGCCAGTTCTCTTTCCTTTCTTTTGCTAATATCTTCAATTACATAAAATCTTTGGGACTCTTTCATGTTAAATTCTTGAAAGATTTTTCCAACCAAAAAAAGCTTGACGTCATGCATATTATCGTTTACTCTCTCATAATCTCATTCATGCTATACCTTAACTGTTTCTTTGTTGGAATGTATAGAATAGGTTTAACATTCCTTCTTCTTGTTTGTTTTCTTTCTCAACTTTTTTAATTCTTCTTATCCCTCTTGTCTTGCATGCAAATTGTGTTGTTATGGTTATAGTAAAATTTAGGGAGTAATTTTATATAACGGAGTACTATGTATATATAGTCTCTGATATAGTGATATAACTTGTTCTGTTCTGGATCAAGTCAGTTTATCGCCAACTCTCAGTTTTTCCTCTCTTAACAGGCAGGTATAACGCTACTCTTGATCAATCTAAGCAAGAAGACCAGTTTCATTGTGAAACTGCAAAACACAATGAACAAAGACTTGCATATATCCGATGACATAACCTTCCAAGAAGGTTCTTTCACACGTGGCCTTAAGAGGACGGTTTCTTGGGTTGGAAGTAAAGCTTCATCAAATGGACAATTGCATCGAGAGGAATACCATTTGTCACCCAAAGAAGGGCGCTTGCAGAGCCAAACTATGGTACTGAATGGGAAACCTTTGCAGCTATCAGAACACGGTGACATTCCTAGACTGGAACCTGCGCTTGTTCATGTATATTCTCCTCTTTATATCTCCCCCTCGTCTATTTCCTTCATAGTCTTTCCCAACTTTGATGCTCCAGCATGCAAGTGATGATTCTTTTTATTTTTATTCTTGATTTGGTCGCTTAAAGAAGTGACCTGCCTTTAGTATGATTAAGATTAGATTCTCTCTGATCTGAGCTGCTGTAATTATTGACAATCACATTTTTTAGAGAATAATTAAAGCTGAAATTTACGGATTTTGTGTTCGTTCTTTGGTTTATTACAATGCTTGTTTTTCAAGGATTGTGTCTAGGATTCTAATTCATTCTAACATTGCATTGTTACTTAATATGATGATTTCATAATGCCTCATTCTTATAGTACTTCTCAAACTATACCCTGATTTCCCTGTATCACCGGAAATTCCTTCAATCCTTAGTAAATGAATTCAGATTTCAGCTTGAGATCTAACCAGTTACTTGCTTCTCATCGTAGGAATATGATCGACAAGCAATATAGAAAATGTAAACCTATGCAACTAATGCAACCAGGGGATAGAAGCATGTAAATGAAAACAACCAATTTATTACAAGAAAGTTTTCATGTCAATGGTTCAAAACATGAATATATAAATGTCTGATAACAAACGGATGAAAGGATTAGAGAAACCTTGTCCACCACTAAGTGAAGCAACCCTTCGATCAGTCTTCGATGATAGATTCCACAACACGCAGGAGTCTTTCTCGAACCATATAAATCTGTTCAATGATCCTGGAGATGGAAATTCTGCGAGGATTTCCTTCTTGTATTTCACTGTCTAGAGGCTTATACCATCCCTTTAGAAACCAAGCCAATGGCACGTAAATTGCGTTTTGAGGAGTCTCCTCTGTTACGTACGCTGGAAGTGCCACTTCTATGCTTCTTTCCTTGAGAAAGTCGTCATAGGATAAGTAATAGTCGAACCAATGCACAGATTTGCAACGAAGCGCTAGCAACATCACAGAGAGATCCATATGGAAATTATGAACATGGTGTTGATCTGAATTCAGCATGTTTTGATTCGTCGCCTCAAATGCGTTGTCATATGCTTGTTGTAAGCCTCTTTCAAATGATCCATCTGATAGTTAGTTCTAACATAACACGAATCCTAGCATGGTCAACTTCGACTACAGGATCACGAAAATATTTCACATAATCCTCTATGTAGGTCTGCATCTCTTGCACTTCCTTGAGCTTTGCTGCAAACAAGTATTCTTTCACTTGTTCAGAGTGCAGTAATTCTCCTGCAGTAATAGCACCAGCATTTTCAGCAGTGAAATATGCAAGTACAGACGACGCTTTTACACATATGCTTGATCTGCCATTCCCTTCATCTTGAGGTGGCACTTCAGTACTTGATGATGCTTCATTTCTTTCCCGGAACAACACTGAAGCGCACCGGATGATTAGCTGCACAAATATCAGTGTTTCAGTAATACAGTATCAGAATATAGATAGGCCAAGATAAACTTGGAGGTTATATTACTTACTTTTCCTGAGTTTCGTCGAGCACTCAGATTTCCAGCTTTTGCAGCACTCAGAATGAATCCACCCATACAATGGAATGCTTGAAAAAATGTGGATAGATTTGGAGCATTACTGCAAAGATTGGACAAAATCAATGAAAATATAAGTAAGAACGCGACTTCAGGGTTAAACTAACACGACATTAACTCAAATAGGTATAATGTAGAACTATATATGAATGCAGATTGTGTGAAACGATGGAGTTGCATACATACCACTTTTGCCATTGAATCATCAAGGACTGATCATATGACCGTAAACTGTATTTTGCCAAGTCTGCGAAATCCAGTTCCTTAAGGATACTTTCGTCGTAAGAAAGTTCCTGAAATGCCTTGCACCTTGACAAGATTTCACACAGAAGATATGATTAAGTTAAACTGACAGCATCATCAAGAAAAATCAGTGAGAATTCAGGATCGGATCTGCTAGACTGCTATCAATTGATTCGAGTTCTGCACTGCTATAAAATATAATCAAGCTTATTGCAATAGGTTTACACAGGTTTATATGTTTGGAAAATTTAATAGCAAAATTAGATCATGAATACATAAGAAAGTTTGCTTATTTTGGATTATTTTCTTTGTAAATGCATATACTTGAGAATACATCAAGTACATGTACATATATACATATACAACATATCCATGTATAAGAAATGAGCCTAAGCAAAACGTACATGCCTACGTGGATATTTTTTTTTTAAAATTCCGCATTTTGGTTATTTTATACTATATTTAGTACTTGTGATTTTATTAGACGCGTCTTGTTATATATGTACATGTGCTTTATGTAATCAAAAGTATATGCATTTGCCAAGAAATTAAGCCAAAATAAGCAAGCTTTCTTATATATTCATGATCTAATTTTGCTATTAAATTTTCGATATGGATGGACTTGCTTCATTAAACCTTTAGATGCACGTATCAACTCGAAAATAAGCTGCAAATAATTTAATCAGTTTGCACAATATGTGACTACTAATCTACTACAAAGTTATTAGGAAAAAAAAAAAAAAAAAAAGAAGTGTTCTTACATCAAGAATGTATTGAACATTTCAAATCCTGAGCTTGGAGTTTCCGGAATAATTTGCATCATAATATACTTCAAAGAATCAAATGACAAGTCCTGAATCGATGTCATTTCGGTTTCATCCAAGTCCTGAATCGATGGCATCTCGGTTTCATCCATGGTTCGAACTGCTATGGTTGGTTTCGAATTGAAAGTAATAGTATTAGCATTAATGCAATGGTATTGAATGATTTTAGAAATAAATACATGAATGAAACAACTCAAAATCTACACATGCAACAATTTTTAGATTAGTTCCTGCATCATATCTTGCCAGTTTATTATAGATCGATATTTATATATCCATGTTTAGTATCATAAATTTGATCTAGAAATCGATAACACATATACAGTGTAATTTATGCAAAATTAAAGCAAGAATTAACTGTTTGTTAACATCAATGGCTATAGATGTTTCAATGTATTTAATTATGTTATGGTGAAAGATTTTAATATGTTTAATTAGAAATACGAGCTAAATTATAAACCTTAGGTCTAAGGACTATAAGGTTAGCATGCATGGAGTTAAATTATTATGGTAAGTATATATTAAAGCTAAGATGTGACTCATGAGTTGTAATTTATTCATAATGCATGTATCATTTTTATTTTAAAAAAAGTTATATATATATATTGCATTATATATTATAATCATCAACTAAATTATTAATAATTAATGCCATATTATCTGTTTTATGAATGTGTAATACAATTTCTAATGGCATTTTTTTTTTTTAACCTAGGTTTCCTTTAGTACGTTAGCCTTATATCTTCTTCGGTCGATCAGGTCATATTTGGAAACTGGAGAGAAAGAAATACAAGTACAAGTCGGAGGTTTTTCACTAATCAAATATAACTTATTAATTATAGTGAGAATTGTTGTAACTAGATATTGAAATTGGTTGGATAATGAATTTCGAAGTAAACTTACTTATCTTCTTCTCTTAAAAAAAAATAGAAAAAAGTAACTTCGGTCCCTTTTGAGCCCTTTTACTTTAATTTAACATATCATATGCAATAGGCCAAGTGATGCTGGATTGATTTAAATTCAGTTTGAATTGCATAAAAATAAGCAAAATTTATGTAACCTGAATCAAATTTTGGCTTTGAATTTGTGAAAATTAAACAGGAGTGATGATTGTTACTTAGGTGAACATCATTAAGGGAGGAGAATAAACTCATTGAAGAAAAAGAATAAGTGCACATTCTTAAAGTTGATCATGAACAAACTCTTTTTTTTTTTTTTTTTTTCAACAGGTATCAATTAAAACTTGGATAGCCAAATAATCAAGATATTTCAATTTGGTACATAATTAAAAATGTATGATAAGCCTAACTTTTTATCACCTGTTATAGATTAAACATATACTAGAATTCCTTTTTTAAAAAAAACACACACACATACTAACATAAATATTGTTTATTTATTTATTTTATTTTTCACAACATACATGTTATAAAGAAATTAATATTGAATTGTGCCTTTGACCATATAATCATTTAAAATCAACATGTATTGATGGTTATAGTTTAATAATATTATGTATCATTTAATTTCTAATTATTTTATAGATTATTTTGGGCAAATGAGGCAAAGTTGTGATTATTTTTGTCAATATTTCCTTATCAATACATCAATTTTGACCATAAAATTTTAGTATGCACTTAAATATAATTATTATTTTGAGAGTAAGGGATAGCTCAAGTGGTTAGAGCTTTCCTCCCGATTCCAGGAGATCTTGGGATCGATTCTCACCTCGCCCCTGTGGCTCTCTAAACACCAAAAAAAAAATATAATTATTATTTTTAGATAACTATTGAAATACTAAAAATTATTTTTAAGATGCCTCAAAAAAATTTTATTATTTTTATGATGACTATAAAAGTGATGAAATATTAAATTACTTAAGGTTATAAGTTTTGAATAAAAATCATAAAGACAAATTTTTGCCTTATGTCTCATACCATAGTTTCAAATGCAAAGAAAGTCAAATCAAAGTTTGAATTAGTTCAAATTCAAATTAAATTCATACATTAAAATGATAAATTATTTAATTATTTTTGGGATCTAAATATCAAATTGTCAATTGATTTTACTTTTATATTCTTTGGATTCATTATAGAATTTTTTTTTTTTTTTTTTTTTTTTTTTTTTTTTTTTTTTTTTTTTTTTATAAAGAACTCATTATAGAATTCTAAGAGCCTTGACACTTTTTAAACCCCCTCCCCCCCCCCCCCCAAAAAAAAAAAATCCAATTTGCTAATCATGACAATATAATTTGAAACTTCTATAAAAAATTATCTAGACATCAATCTAACAAATTACCACATTTTTAATTTATTTTATCAAATGAAATTCAAATAATAAATTTCAAAAGTCAAACAATTGAATCCCTTGAAGAAACCAATATAATTATTCTCAAAAAATCTATATAAGAAATGAATCAATCAGGCTAGGAGGAAGTACTTACCACGGGTTAGAAGCTCACAAACTTCAATGTCGTTGAACTCAAAACACTTCCTAGATTGAGAGAACTTCTTATTTTTTCCGTTTTCACTTATTCTTTGGAAATTGAACTCAAATTTTAGTCGCTTTCATCTAGAAAGAAAGTAAATATATATTCTATTATTTTTTGGGGTAGGTGGATGGAAAACA